CACTACGAAACAATTGTATATTTTTTTTATGGATGATAATAGAATGGCAACCCCACCCGCGCTATTGGTATACACTGGCGGGGCTCCAGTGAGGGGTGATAAGTGAGGAAGAAGCAGGTCAGTTAGCCCATCGTGACGAATTCAACAAGAATTGTTCACGATGGTTTCCAGGGAAAACACGTGGAGATCGACCTAATAGGGTATATTGCTAGCAATGGGGATGGCCAACTCCATTGGTAACAATCCCTATCCCCATGCAATTGTATAAGTACAGTAAGGCGGTCTTATTGCTGAGAGCAATCTTTTCAAGACAACCTTAGGGTAATGGACTAATTGTTGTACAAGTAGGTATGATAGTACTGTATAATTTAAGAAAAATACCTTTATCAAATTAAAAAAATAAAATTATTAACTGTGTTACAATATATCGTCATAGTCGTAGAATACTGACGGATATCTATCGTCGCTCACTGGTGCCCCGACAACGTATCCCGTTAGCACAGACGGGGCTACCATACCATTTTCACCCATAAAAAAAACTGGCCTGCCTTTTCATTAACACCTATATCTGAGTCCTCAGGAATGGCAACGCATGGGGGGTATCACGGACAAAACAGTATACTCTGTTATGTCCATGGTACTGCTCATGTCTATAGGCGACGATTACCACTTTCCATCAGGTGGGCCGTTAGCTTGTTTGACATACTAAGTTGTATAAAAAAAAAATCTATCACTGGTGCCCTGCTAGCGTATACTGATAGCACAGACGGAGTTACCATGCCATTGTCATCCATTGAAAAAAACCTAAACAAAATTGTTGTGTCCATAGAATTGTTGTTGTCACGGCATATCTGTATGAGTCATTCGCCATTACATTACATCACAATTTCACAATATATATACATAGGTACACCTGAAATAGTATACGCATCAGCAGATATGCATGAAGGTCACAAGTATCTGACGCGAAGTTCGTTCACTGGCGTTCGAAGGCGTTAAATCACGTTTTACTACGAAAGAACTGTCCTTATAGGCCAGTGCTGTTCATATATAATAAATAAATACTAAATAATAAATAATTACTCATATTAAAATAGGTCTACAGGGCGGACTTAATACCTGATGGCATTCTCTACCAGTTATGCTTAACAGAAAGAATAAATGGCGGTGCATTGATTTAACAAAAACAATTTGTAAATTAAATAAATATTTTGAGAGATCCATTAACTACCTGTAGGTGGGGGGAAAGGGATTGCTAGTGACGGAAACTGAGAATCCCATTGCTAGCAATATACCCAACCAGGGCAACCTCCTCGCGGTTCCCCTTTGCAACTATCATGGTTAATTCCTGGTGAATTCATCATGATGGGCTAACTGGCCTGTTTTCATTCACATCTATCACCTCTCACTGGTGCTCCGCCAGCGTATCCCGTTAGCGCAGGCGGGGTTACCATTCCATTTTCACCTATTAAAAAAAAAACTACCTGTAGGTACCCCGCAGCTTCGTTCGTGTGTATATGAATACATACACACATACACAGTATATGAATGTTCTAAATTAGGACCCAACCTATCTGTGTACCAAACTGCTAATAGTGGGATATAACATATATTGCTATATCTAACATATATGTTCTAGTTACAATAACTATACATTATATACGTATCATGGGCGAAACAGTATACTCTGTTATGCCCATGGTACTGCTCATGTCTATAGGCGACTGTTACCACTTTCCATCAGGTGGGCCGTCAGCTTGTTTGCCATTCTAAGTTGAATAATTTTTTTTTTCGTTGGATGAAAATGGATTGGTAACTCTGCCTGCGCTAACGGGATACACTGGCGGAGCACCAGTGATGGGTGATAGATGAGAATGAAAACAGGCCAGTTAGCCAATCATGATGAATTCATCAGGAATTAATCATGATAGTTTCCAGGGGGAACCGCGTGGAGGTCGACCTGGTTAGGTATATTGCTAGCAATGGGATTTTTAGTCTCTATTACTAACAATCCCTTTTCCCCCTAAACTGCATAATAAAACTTAGTTTTCTTTTTATAATCTCATACTAACAGTGAAGCTGACAAATCGCTATTTAGATTTCTAAATTAAAAAAAAAAACCTTAAAAGATTCAAAAGATGGTCACAACAGGTAGATGTTATATCCTTGGGATATATCTGCAAGCAAATCAAAGATAACACTGATAAGATAAGCACTTTATGATAACCAGTGACCTAGTTAATCTTGAGGGGTGTCATGATCTACTAAAATAGAATGTAGATAGGTCAAGCTATCTTTCATCCACTTTAGACATACAAAAACCCATCTTACCAGTATCTAGATGATATTTATTTATATCTTCTGGCCATAATGGTGAATTCTATGAATTAATAGATTATTGTTAAAAATATACCTCATCAGATTGACCTCCACGTGAACCTCTTTAAATACCATAACAGTACACTCTGTTATGTCCATGATACTGTTCATGTCTATAGGCGACGGTTACCACTTTCCATTAGGTAGGCTGTTAGCTTGTTCGCCATTCTAAGGTGCATAAACAATCATCATAATTAATCTGGTGAATTGGTCACTACAATAATTGGTCTAACTTTATCCTCATCTATTATCCCCTCACTAGCACCGCGACAGCATTTATAGCGCATTCGGACTTTCCAATTCATCTTTAAAAAACCCCATTTATAGAAATCATCATCATCATTATATCAGTCATTAAATGTAAAATAAAATAATCAGATCGACCTCCGCTTGGTCCCCTCCGGAAACCATCGTACTTAATTCACTACGATGCAGACCTAACTTCATTCTTACCTATCTATCATCACTCAATGGTGTATCACCAGCGTATACCGTAAGTGGAATTACAATTCCAATTTATTCCCATTAAAAAAAAAAAACTATAGTTCCGGGTTATCCCAGTATTATTGTTTGCTATCGACAAACTAATCCATGGCAGCCCTATTCCGCAAAACTATTGATCGGTGACTATTTTTAGATATACGCCATGGCTAACCCACTATTTGCCTAGTCGTTTATTAGTGAGATACATTTATCTGTTTGCTAAAAAAATTGTTCCCATTAATTGGAAGGTTAATAAAAGGAGGAAATAAATTAAGGAATAAAAGGAAACACTAGGTGTCATGTCGTATAGGGAGGTCAAAGATATGACCTGGAATAAAGCCGGCTGGAAGAAAATGCATGAATTAGTTACACCGACAAGAGAAAACTTTAAAAAAAAATAGAGAATTGGAAGGTTGTTGGTAATATTTCTTCTGTGTATACATGTGTTTGTGTTTAATATAATACATATTTAAGTGTTAAAGGCTTTCTTGCTTTATTTACTTACATTTTTAGTACATATATTACACATCTAGGGTGACTCATGTATCTAAAATAAACATAACTGAATTAAGAAGGTAAAATTTGAAGTGACTCATGCATAGTTCTTTTTTTTTAATGGGTGATAATGAAATGGTGACTCCACCCGCGCTATCGGTATACACCGGCGGGGCAACAGTGAAGGATGATAGGTGAGGACGAAGCAGGTCAGTTAACCCATCGTGACGAATTCAACAAGAATTGTTCACGATGGTTTCCAGGGGAAACCACGTGGAGGTCGACCTAATAGGGCATATTGTTAGCAACGGGGCTGTCAAACTCCATTGCTAACAATCCCTTTCCCCCCGACTCATGCATAGTCGTATATGGTATATACATATATTGATCTTGCAGTGTTTTGTTTATCAAGAAATGATAAACTAAATAATAACTATACAAAAAAATACACAAATCTTTACACTAAGATACTGAGGTTAGAATTAATTTTCTTGTTTCTAACAAGAAAATTAATATCTGAAGACACAAACCATGCCCCTGTCTATTTACAAAAGTTCGTTTTCGAAAATTAAATTTAGGATTTAATATAGGCAAAGTCTCTCTCATATAAAATATTATTATTAATTATTTTTCTTTTCTTTCTTTCCTTGCCAGTGGAGTCGCCTCATGCCTCAATTTGAAGGTAATCAAATCAGTGTAAGTATCGATTACTAACTTGAGATAATAAAAATATATTTAATAATTTAGTGTATACTCCCTTATAACGGTCGTTCTAATACAGATGATGACAATTGGTAACCAATATTTTATTTATTATTTTTTTCCTATTAACAACGAGAGAGGCTGGTTTCTTCAGGACCTGTCTAAAAATGCTATAAGTACTAGATACCGTCAGCTTATTGACGGAAGGTCGTCAACTTGTTTACCAATTCCAGAATTGAATTTTAAGAAGAAAAAGTTTAAGATTTTATAAACTTTTTTAAATTGACAATTTACTGCATCCGTTTAGATTATTGCGGATTTTAAACTACCGAACTAGTAATATAGTAAACACAAAGTAGATCGGTAGAAATAGTTCCATACTGTCCAAAGAAGTAAATTTATAAAACGATTCACACCTTATTCTGCTTCGAACATAGGTATGTTTACGTAAACATAGAAATTTCCAGATGATTCCAAATTAATGCATTAATACTTAGTAATGTCATACATATTAAAGCTAGTTTAAATTTTGAATGTCGAATCATCCATTTTAAGGCAGTGAAATTATATGTCAATACTTAATTTTATTTATAATTTCTCAGTTTAATAATGTATAATAACAAGAAATCAGGCATTATCCATGGAACTGTGACTAGACACGTGTTCTAACAGCACGTGAGGGACCCAGTTGCTCAGTATTGATTGATCCCTTCAGTCATGACCTTCATTACTCACGTGGTATTTTTTAATAGTTGTCTATCTTTCATACATTGTTTGCCTCTTTAAACAAAATATAGACATTCCACACATAAACATCGAAGTAAATACACGGAAAAATACAACTGTGTGCATGTTTTGACGCATTACTCACACCGATACACGTATACAATGCAATATGACGCAGCAAAACACACGCACACACTCACAATCCACATTTAACCATTGAGGAAGTGGGGGGACGGGAGGGCTCCACGGAATAGACGGTTTATATAGGACGCGCGGACGCAGATGAAACCAGTTACTTTCTAGAAGTAAACAAAGAAGCTTCTCCTAGAGGACAATTTAGCACCAACCTCGGCTAAGGCCAAACAATGGGTACGTTAACCTCACATTAATTATTCTATTCGCCATATTTTTTAGCGGTAGAAATAGTTTAAATATGTCTTTATTGCAAATCATAGAGAATCTTCAATTTTTTTTTTATTTGTTATTTATCTCTGTCAAGTCAGTTCGTCTCGTGCAATTTGATCTATTGACCTATCTAATCTACATTATGGGTTGTTTATTTGTGGTCACTGCCGCGTATGATAACTAGTACCAATTTATCAATATGTCTATATTATTATTGAGTAAAATAATAATATTAAATGAACTGCTGAACCGAAATTAATTTCTGAAGGTTTTTCTTATATTTTGTATCAATTGTCGAAACACTATGTGACTTCATGTTTTCAGAGTCGGACATCTTTGGAATTGTCAACGTTTTGCATCGTACCGTGCCTGTGTATTGTTGTTTAAATATAAAAATGAATAATAATAATAATTGTGTATTATTTTTGTCGTTGTAAACTGAACCCAAAACAATGAACAAAAATATACAAAAAAAAAACAAGGTCACATAGTATTTGCACATTACATCTTGAAGATTTATGAAATGGAAAAAAAGCAATTACTTTAAATAGTTTTCAATCTTTTTTTTTTCGATTTTTAATTCTTCTAGTAATAATAGTAACTATTTATCCTGGGAAAGGCAAAAGTACTACGCCATACAGTCTGATATTATAAAATAACCATATTTTTTTCTTGCGATTTTAAGCCCTATTATACCTGATATTTTCTTGAACTATTTTTACAGTATTCATTCATTACCATATCATATCATATCAGTCGTTAATTGTCCACCGCTGAACATAGATCTCTCTTTATTTGGGTATGTCAGTACTTGCCACAGTCGGCAAGCTAGGTGGCAACCACAATTAGGCTTTGGTGATGTTTTAAAAGGGACGCTGCTGCGTCCTTAATTATTATATTAATCCTTTGTTTTAAATTTATTCTTACATATTACATACTTAGTAGATTTTTTTTCGCAATTAATTTACATTGAGATCAAAGTATCTAGATATACCTAGATCTCTATCTACGTACATATATGTATGTCCATGTTCAAGATTAGAAACCTAGAATATATATACCATAAATGAAAAAAAAAAACAATAATACCAATTAAATATTTTTTATTAAACGAGTGACAGAACTAATTTCTCAAACAAAAAACATGTTTTAAAAACGTAAAACAACGGCATTCAGCAGCGAATTTTTAATTGTTTAATAATGAAAACTCCAATAAGATATGTCTGAACAACTCTAGGTATTTACGTAGTTTTTAGAATGTGCCTTTCAAACTAATAACTGATAACGTGTAAATGATAACATAAAAGGTGATCTGTACAATAGTAGGTATATTTGGTCTTGATACATACATCTATGCGTGTTTATCTTGTATTCACGACTGTATTTAACTAGTTAGTAATATTTTTTCTAATGGGTGATAATGGAATGGTAACTCCGCCTGCGCTAATGAGATACGCTAGCGGAGCACCATTGAAGGGTGATAGATGAGAATGAAAACAGGCCAGTTAGTCCATCATGATGAATTTATCAGGAATTAACCATGATACTTTCCAGGGAGAACCGTGAGGAGGTCGCCCTGGTTGGGTATATTGCTAGCAATAGGATTCTCAATCTCCATTACTAACAATCCCTTTCCCCCCTAATGGAATGGTTACCCCACCTGCGCTATCGGTATACGCTGGCAGGGAACCAGTGAAGGATGATAGGTGACGATAAAAGTAGGTCAGTTAGCCCATCGTGACGAATTCCATTAGAATTAACTACGATTCCAGGGGGAACTGCGTGGAAGTCGACCTGATGAGTCAGTTAGACCTTATTACTTACAATCCCTTTCCCCCCGGTATAATACATTAAAAAGAATTGACTAGTAACCATTGATTACAAAATTTAAGAAATTATTTTTCACAGAATAAACGGGACAATCAATCTTGACAATGCTTACCAATATTATAATTGTGAACGTGAGTTTATTTGTTACTTGCCTTATAGCGCCTTACGGCTTAACCAAAAATTATGAAATTAGGTATACACGTACTAAATGGGATGAAGAAGAATATAGGTTACTTTTTATCCCGTTTACGCGGATGAAATTGCGGGTAAAAGCATAAAAACATAGTTTATAGGATTTATGGTATTCGACCAGTAATTCTTATTTAAAACGATTGAAAAAAAACGATAAATCATTGGATGTTTCATAGACGCATTAGATATTTTATATATGAATTGGAACGAGAAATTGTGTGTCTAAATATAGATTTTTCCTTGGCAACGAACAGTTTTTTGCAAATATGTGACGTCAGAGTGTGTCGCTTATTTAATTTTACTTATTTATTTTTATCGTCAAAATATGAATATGGAATGAACACGGTAATAAACAAATTATCAAGAGTAATGTTGGAAAAAGCTTAATAAAATAATATACAACAAGAAAAAGACATGGGTCTTCAAGTTTTATTAGAAGACTCGCGCACTTAATTAGACTGTCAATAAAATAAAAAAGAATTAATATTTCTACCAATGAGGTTAGCTATTCTAACAAGTAATTCAGACTTGGCGACATAATTTCGCAGCATAGCTATCTATATATATAAAAAAAAAAACATACGTAAACGAATTCAGAACATCATTCTTCTTGAAGGAAGTTAAATAACCTCATTACAGTGAACAGACTTCATCAGAATAAAGACAGAAGGTCTGTTAATCGTTTGCATTTTCTTTCACGACATAAAAAAATAACCTTTTTTTTTTTCGTGTACACGTCACATGATATCTTCACCAATTCAATAGAGTCAAAATTCAATAGGGTTGAGTCTTGTCATGGGTAATATAACACAACTTGTCCCGGCTCGTCTCTTATGGCATATTGTACTCTCTCACGATCGATATAACTGTATTTTTTTGTGGAGAATATATCTTATATTGTGTCTGAACAATAGACTTATCCCCTTATTTATAATAACAAAAAAAACATCTACAAATATATTTTAACTTTTACATTATTTCTCGTAGTCCTTTTTTTTCAAATTAGGAATTTAACTCAAAAGAAAGAGACAGCTCAATAGCTAAAATAGATTTTATAGCTTTAATATTTTTATAAATAAGCGGATAATACAATTTAGTTTTGACCATATCGTCACCTCTATGGCAAATTTACGAATCTGCAGTTTTTTCAAATTTGACATTTCTTTAAAAATCTACATTTTGCGTCATACTACTTATTGTTGCTTATTTTGAAATTTCTATCTCTAACGGTTAAAGAAATCGAGTAGCTCGAATCTCCATATTTCTGTGATATATCCAAAGTAAACTTACTTAGCATATTTTTATAGTATTTTTATAATAAACACTTTAGTATGAAAATTTCAATAATTATTTTATCAACTTTTCAATCCTAATTTAGTTATTTTACATGATTGATTGCTATAACGATGTTATTTAAACTGAAGTTCTCTCCAAAACACGTGATTTATACCTTGATATATTTACGAAAGTGGCACTTTCGTTAGTTTGCCAGATATTAAAAAAAAATATATTTGCTGTTGTATACCTATGGTATTGTATACCTAGGAACTCTCATGTATGAAGATGCAAAGTAACGAATATGCATTTATTTCTGATATTTGTAATATAACAATAATTAATTAAGCGCATTCAATAAAAAACAGGATTTTAAAACTAAAATGTTAGCATGATCTTTTACAGTAGTCTTCTATCAAAAGTTATTTGCGTTCTAATGTTTCAAAACGTTCCCCTGTAAAATGTATCTTTTTCAGTTTCCTAAGTTTACCGTTTTTTTTAAAGGTGACCATATATATGCAGCCACTGTTGTTTCCAGTTAAAAGTATCCTTGACCTATTAGTATTGACCTTGACATATTATAAAGGTACTAAGTTACTTCAGTTGAAGATAGTCCAGTTGCCATAGTTCATAGGATTTCAATGAATAGCCATAATGTTGACAGGCCGTAGGTATTATACCTATATCATGTATATATCGTCCTCCACGGCATGGTCACTCATTTGCGTCATAGTATCACGCGAATCGCGTGACCCATTTGTGATAATTACATTTAATGAAACTTACCTTTTGTATACATAAGCCGTTGTACCATAGAATGAGAAAGAATTGAAAGGTTTAAAATTAGAAGTAATATAGACAAATGCGACTTCTGAAGTAAATAAAGAAGGTAATTAAGTTTCTAAAGATTCGAAATTAAACAAATTTAGAAACACTGACTCTGGCTTTTTGCCAGTAAATTGATGTACATTATAAAGTAATATACCTTTGTGAGGTTAATAACCTGACTGTAATAAAGGTGATACATCAAAGTACTCGTCTCTCGTCCACTGATCCTAAGATAGCGTCTGAAATCTTTTATCTATTTATTGCTAGCTCCACAGACATAGATAAAATAATAATACCTAATCCGTATTCTTTTATCTGTGCCTCAGACGTTACCCTGTTCAAATTTAAAATATTTTTCTTTATTTAAAACCACAAGGAAATAAATGCCGAAATATTCTAGCCAATAGGTACTTAATTTTTATTTTTAAATTATTTTTATATTTAATAAAGTTTTCTGGATTAGACATTCGCAGTTTTGCATGAAGTTACTGATTAAAATTTGGTAATATTTTTTTTATTTGATACGGCTTTTGTAGCTATTATAATATACGTATCATACATATATAAGAAAACTCTTATTTCATACTCGTATGTCTATCTGACTGTCTGTCGCATTATAACTTAATATTGATCAAATCTTAAGTCTAATCAGTTTTATGAAATGTGTAAAAAACCTTCAGAAACTAAAAACCCTGGATTAGTAAAAAATCATTAGTTATATGAAAACAAAATAAATACTAGTTTTTTATACCACGAAGGTGGCAAACAAGCGTACAGCTCGTCTGACGGTAAACAGTACTATAATGAAAAATGCAAAAGATCTCTGATAATTATCACAACTGACAAATGCAAATTAGTGATCGCAAATAATTCTTCACAATTGTAATTGAAAATTTAAAAATTATCAATATCTATGTTATTTTCAGATACGTTAAATATAAAACCGTTAAGTGAGGAACAGTGGTCTCCAGATTCGCCGAAGGGCGTGGAGGCCACTGGGCTCGTTGGACCTGACGTCCAGGGGCCCGATGCCATGGCATCGACATCGAGCGAGGAGCGCGCCATACGCCGCGTTATGGGCCGCTGGGGAGCCGAGTGGTTGAGCTGACTCGGCTCAGGAGCCCAGAAGCCTGTCGCGCCGGCCTGGCCGGCCGACCACCCCCTACCGCCGCCGCGGTGGGGGGCCCCCCGCCCGGCTTTGCACCTATCCCTACAGCAGTATGAGGACCTGGTAGCCAAAGCCGAGGTGCTGTTGAGCCGTCTCGTCGTCTCAGAAAATTATGACTCCATCAACAACTTCTTGACCCTATATGACTCCTATATGTCAGCCCCAGATGAGTCACTGAAGGAATTTTTCCCAAAATACAAACCACCGATCAGACCTCGCAAGAACACGTGTGTCGGTCTGGGTATGGAGGTGATGAAAAAACTCAAGGTTTTGGAGAAGGATTTCCCTGGTATAACCAAGTCGATGATGCTCGTGTCTTGTGATGAAAACATCCAAGATCTGGTGGACTACGCGACCTCAAGCCCCGGGCCTCAAGGGTTCTTGATCGAGACTGAGAAGGACCATGTGATGGTAGCGATCCACATCAAGATCGGGGGAAGACATGGTGTATTTCTATCGGACCTGGGCTACCACATCTCCCGGGTGGTCACAGTGATGGATGACCGGTGTTACCCTCATACAGGTATGTGAAAATACTACATATATTTTGATTATTCTTATGATCATCACTTTTATAAAAAAAAAATATGCTTAGGTATTACATCACATCACGCATAATCAGGGATCAGGGAATTGAAAGGAACAAATATTTAAGAACGTCATTTGTCTAACGAACATGACTGTTTTCAGTTACAAAAAAAGAAAAGCAAACTAGCTCATAAAAGATTATGAACATTTTCGTGTATTGCCACTTCTGACGATTATTTCGTAGCCATCAGGAAATACTTAATACTGATTTTGTTTTTAACCCGCCATAACTTTTTCACCAAAGGTTGGTTCATCCAAAGCGACCAGCCTCATTGCCGCAAAGAGTACAACTATCAGTTAAACCTTCAAAACACCAACTATATAGAATGGCACGAGAGAGAAACCAGAGGATCCAATGTAAAGGAACGTCTGTCGCTGATCTACGTCGCCAGGGCTTACCTGACGGCTGTCTCTGTCACAGAGAAGAGGAACCTTGTCTGGGATTTGAGGTACGTTAATTAATATAACTATATTTTTATAGTATAGATATAAATACTATTGATTTAGTAAAGAAGGTACCTTAGCCTTATAGAAGACTATAAGGAAATAACGCTGCTAAAAAGTTGCCGTGTAGGTCTCGGCATAAAACAGGCCACCCCTTTCTTTCCCGTGGATGTCGTAAGGCGACTAAAGGAGCTTATGGTGGAGGGATGAACAGCAGCGTCCCTCTTAACCCTTCTTTGCATAATTTTTTTTATTGGTAAAATAAATCAAGTTGATATAATTCATGTTCAAAATTAAAGGAAATATAGTTACAAAAAATAAATTTGAAAGCTATGTCTTTTTTTTTTGCAATGGACATTAAAAAGGTATTCAAACACGATCAACTTAAAGTTAACTTGTTCTTTTATATAATTTTTGGGCATTCAATGTTATGATGGAAATTTACACCATTATGCAAAGAAGGGATTAAACATCACCGAAAGCCAAGCTATGGTGGCCAACTCGCCTGCCAAGCGTGTCAACTACCAGCAAAATCCCCCTTATAGGGGAGGCTATGTTCAGCAGTGGACAGTTAACGGTTGATACAACAATTACTTAAAACTTGTGAATTTTTATACAACTTAGAATGGCAAATATGTTAACCACCCGATGGTAAATGGTAATTCTCGCCTATAGATATGAAAAGTGCTATTGTCATTACAGTACACACTGTGACACTCAAAGGTGCCATGCCATTCCTGAGGACTGGAGTTCGTGCATCAGTCTGTACCTTGTAAAAGTCGATTGCTTGGATACCTCTGTCCCATTCGTGTTTCTACCGTGAAACATTTGTGTTTGCATGGCTGTGTTTCAGTTGGAAGGGTGGGATATGGCGTGAATTTACAGGGTACAGAGGAATAACACCTGAATCCTCAGGAATGGCAACGCATGGGTGGTATCATGGGCTAAACAGTATACTCTGTTATGTTTATAGTACTGCTCATGTCTATAGGCGACGGTTACCACTTTTCATCAGGTTTTTCAATATAATTGCCATGAATTGTCACGAAGGATATTTATCGCCATTACATTAATTATTTAAATACTCGTAACTTTATTTATCAAATGAAAATTGGATACAAAATGCGGGCTTTGTTCAAATTCTTCAAATTGATGGTTATCATTTATAAATTTGTTTCTAAATTCGAAATTAACTCTTTCCTCTTTATCTCTCTGTCAATTTAATATAAATTCTATTTTACTGCCTTTTATTAATTTGTTCTTGTAAGCCAATAAATTCAGATTTAGAATCCAACATACTGACTGTATTTTTTCTAAAACATTCCACATTGAATTTCTTTGAATAACCAAACAAAATCTGATAGTAGCCAAGTTTGATATCGATTGAAAATGTGCAATTCATATAATTTGTATTAATTTATTTTTCCAGGAGTTTACTCGCCAGGGACCCGAAGGGCAACCTGACCGCCGGTATCTACTTCCCTCTGAAGTCCAAAACGACAGAGTTCACCATGTTCTTCGACAGTAACAGCGGCAAACAGAGAAAGAAATTGAAATTTGAAACTTTCTTGGAATTGCAAAAGGTAATTTTTTTGGTATTTTGTTTTTAAATAGTCTATCATGAAATATTATGTCTTTATAAGTTAGGCACTACTCCCACAGAATTTTATATAACTATATTTTATTACTTAACTAATTTCACCATATTAGGTCATTATTAAATGAGTATTGCTTTTATATTGGGAACGTAAAATACATAGATTGCAAGGGACTAAAATGAAATTTAATAGAATAGTAATACGTAGATTTCAAGCTATAAAAGAATTTACCTGTCTCTACCCTTACTAATTTCTCATTCTCTATTTTTGAAATATTTTTATTAAACATTTCCATAAGTATTCTTATTATATTTTTAATTAAATAAATACTCTAAGTAACGAGAGAAACATACTTCTTTATATTGACAGATATTGGCATACTTATTTTTTTTTACTTTTTTGAATAATTATGGCAAACAAGCTCACAACCTTGGATGAACCATCAGTTTTTAATGAATTATAGAAAATCGTCTATACGCACCTTTGCATACCAGATAGTGATCTCTTTCAATAGAGGTTGCTGGCCAGTCTGCATATTAAAATACATAATCTTATAAGACAAATATTATTTGAGAAACTTGGTATTTTCAAATTCCTAGCTTGTATTGCTAGTGTATTCAAATTGAAATCAGATTCAGTATATCTGTTGTAGCTAAAGAACATAGACTTCTATATTTTGTGTATTTTTTCATGCTACTTGGAATGGCAAACAAATTGATGGCCCACCTAATGGAAAGTGGTAACCGCCGCCTACAGACATAAACAATACTATGGATATAACAGAGTATACTGTTTCGCCCATGATATCCCCTATGCGTTGCCATTCCTAAGGACTCAGGTGTTATTCCTCTGTACCCTGTAAATTCACTGCCGAATCCCACCCTTCAAACCGAAACACAGCCATGCAAACACAAATGCTTGTCGGTTGAAACACGAATGAGGCAGAGGTACCCAAGCAAACGACTTTTGTGCAAAATCTCCTTTTGGTAAATCCAATTTACTCCACCGTCATAAAACATACTTCATCTGTTTAAAATATAGGTAATATTTTATTCATTCAAAGTGTAGAGTGCCAATATTTATTATTTTTATGATCCATTAATGTTGGCGGTTATAAATAAAAATATAGCTATAGGATATTATAAATTGCGTGGATGTAGATTCATTCAGTTATTTTTGCCTTCAATGAGCCTTCCAGACGTCACTGGATTGGCTTTACTCCAAAATTGTAAAAATGTGGCATACTTTCCATACTGCTATTTCTCTTTTATTGCCATCTGCATAATGTAATACATATTTATATATATTAAGTACATATATGTCTATGTCATTGGCAAATATCTTTGCTTCATGGTAGAAACACGAATGTGTAGACTTGATATGAGATAAAGTGTGCCCTTAATTATATTAACAAGGTTTTTCAATATAACGCTATTAACAAAATGATAAAATATTCAGGAAGTAAAACTATAGACAAATATTATTTCATTATTAAGTCAAGCAAATTTTATAATAATATTTAAAACTAACGAACACTTCCATTACGCACTGTTTTTTTTAATAAAATTTGGCCTCTATTACTCACTGAAGATTTATCTTTCCCTAAATGGCAGAACTTTTAAAATTCTTTAAATAATTTTGTTTGAAACACAATCAAAAAATACTTAACGAATTATTCAAAGAAAAAAGTCGTGTGTGTAGTTTAAGTTAGTGATCCAGCCCGACTTCGCACGGGTACATAGAATTTTCGAAAGAAATGTATAGCCTGTGTTACTGGCTGACAATGTACCTTTGTATAGGATCTATACTCAGCCTTTCCCAAAGTGGGCGATAACGCCCCCTTGTGGGCGCTGCAAGCCTAAAGGGGGGCGGTAAGAGAGCCAGAAAAAAAATTGATTAATTTACATAATTTACACAGTAATTGATTAATAGTGGTTTTTAAGTAGGTGAAAAAATGGGGGCGCTAAAAAAAATTTATTCTCAAAGTGGACAGTAGACAAAATAAGGTTGGGAACCCCTCTTATACATGTTATTCTCGTGTTGTAACTAACACTTATATCTTTCTTATTTTTTAGTTATTATTATTATTATTTTATCTCCACCAATTCACAATTTCTATCAGACATTTAAAGGTTGACTAAAAGAAAGCCCTTTTATGGGATAAGTCCGCTGTTGTTCTCATTCTTTTCTTAAGAACTTTGAAGAAGATCCTACATATGTTTTTTTGCAGATACCAGACGAGGTTGTAGACGAAGTGGAACAGTGTAACGACCAGCTCCGTCTAAGAGATGGCGAGCTTCTCTCCATCCTGCAGCGGCTCGCCACGATCATAGCTGATGACGAGTACATGGCTGAGCTTCTAGAAGTCAACAACAAAATCGTCCAACTGTCCGCTGGTACATAAAGTGAACTCGGCAAAAACCTTGGAATCCGGATTTAGTTTAATCCCATTATAAAAATGTCAAGCGTCTAATAAATCTAGTTCGGCTATTGAAATGTTTTGCCCTTTTGATTCGCGCTAAATTCCCTTATTCATAAAAACTGAAACCTACTACAAATCTAATAACTATTACATTGTTTTCTCACTTTCATTCATATTGAAAATTTATCACAAAAGAAAGAGACAAAACAGTTTAATAGCAAAAAAATGTTTACGAGAGATTTAACGTTTCTTATGAATAAGAGGGTAATGTAAGAAAGTAACAGAACAGTAATAGTTGAATTGGATTTGTGTAAAGTTTTTAGTTTTTATGAATAATATGCAAATATTAACTTTTAGACTTTCGTGTTACATTTTACATGGTTTATTATGAATCATAATGGAAAGATGTTTAAAATTGTTTTAATATCTATAATTCATCCTTATTCAGTTTTTTTCTTTTTCTTGTTACTAGCGTGATTTGTCTCTTACGACATCTTGAGGCAAAAAATTTACCGTATTTCATTTTTTTTATTCAAGCATTAGTATATTATAATGACTTTTTCATCTATTTCATTGGTTTGTATCAATTTAGTTTATTTTTTCTAACTATATACATATAAGTTCATATAACTAATGGAAATATCAAGTATCTAGCATTGTGTTTTAAGATGTATACTTATTCATCAGGGTATTTGTAGTTAGTAACGTTTTTTTACCTATTTTAGTTTTTTATTACTTTTTTCATTAGTTTCATGTACGTATTTGTTACGTAAACTGTTCATGTAGAGACCATTTATTATTTAAGTGGATTTATACTTTATTTTTTTTTTTTTATATTAACATTCTAAATCTGAGACAAGGCGAGACAAAAGTTCTATTGGGGAAATAAATATAAAGACAATATATGCAGTTGTTTTATTTAATTTACACATTGTGTTCCTTTTGAAAAATAATGGAATAATTTAATTTGAATAAGTTAATCATAAAATAGTTGTATTTGAAACTACTACTTTTACACCCACTCCACAGGTTGGTTTTGTAGTTTTCAAATACTTTTTTTAAATCCCATGAATTCTGTATATGTATGTCATGAATTCTATAGGTATATAATCAGCTCATTGAATAATTTTGTGGGAAAATTCGCCGTGGTGAGCATGAAAGCAGGAAGTATTGGCGTATAAGAGTCACTTGAGGGCCTACCATGAAATATTTTTCGAAATTTCGAGGATGAACGAAACAGAAATTTGATGTTAAAATTACATAAGACATGTCATTTGAAATTACGAGTATTAAAAATGTTAAAATATCGTTTATCTGGACTATTAGGATTTATCATGAACGAAATGTTAAGCTCCATTTACTGGGTCGATTTCGGTACGAACAAAAACACGAAATCGAGCCCGAAAATTCGGAATTACATTTCATGGTAGACCACCTGTTCTTGTGGCGTGGTATTTGTAGCGTTTTGAAAAAGAGTCTGACTCATTTGAATTCACAAGTTGAGTAATTCCAATTTTAGTCTGATTTCTTCCTTTTAATGTCAACTTTTCGACTTTCTCTACTCTTGTTTCTTTTTTACCAACATTATATTTATTTTCTACGAAAGAATCATTAGACTGTTGAGTAAGATTTGTTTCCCCTGAATCTAAATCTAGATGTTTTTTCGGCAATTTTCTGGTTCGTTTGGTACATTTTAAAGGTATGTTAGGAGTTGCATTACGTTTATTTTTGCATGATAAGTTGGAAGTAGCTTTCCCTTCAGTTTTCTTATTAGCGATGTTTTTCTTGGAAGTTAATATAGCAGCCGATTGTTTTCCTCTCTTATATAACGGTATTGAAATCTTTGATACTGGAGAACATTCTTAGTAAAATCTTGCTTGGCGTTTCCTTTTCTGTTTTTGCTCAAGGCTATAAGAGTCAAGATGTTACAATTCAGTAACAGTTACAATTCAGTAAACATGAAGAGAATCGCGGTTTATTTATTTATTCTTTATTGTACACAAAAAATTACAAACATATAATATATATTAAATAAAAATGTACAACAGGCGAGCTTAACTCTGTAAGAGTGTTGGAACTACCGTTCGTAACGATCTGTAAGAGTGTTGAAGTTAGAACTACCTTAAGTCCCATGACTGGGCGTTGAAGAACGTCGAGCTTGGGCAACAATTGGACAAACACAAATTTCGTCGTCGTCTAGATTTGGCAACATCTGATTGCTGCACGATGGACCAGGTAACTCATCAACCAAATTATTTTTTCTTATTCGTTACGGACCTGGCAGCTTAAAGACAAATCAGAGATTATAAAGAAATTGTCTGGAATGATAACCAAATTCTATGAATAAATACCGCAAGCTCTAAATCCTGAGATAGCATTAGAAGGTGTAGCCGCTCGGATCCATGCATTACCAATTAGTCTGCCAGATACAGAACGATTGATTTTTTTTTCTTTGATGCTTATCCAGTTTCTAGTCTCGTTCAGCTGCATAAAAACTTTTAAAAGGCTTGAAAAACATGCTGTCTAAGCATTGCAAAACTTGTGTACTGTGACTTGGTAAGCAAAAGAGAATGATCCCATTTTTTCTGCAGTCTCCAACATTTTAGCAGGATTAGTGTAAGAAGAATGCCCGTCTAGAAGCAACATAACTTTATTTTGAGGCTTTGGAGGAACAAAGTGAGCTACGATCCACTTCTGGAAAATTTTTACATTAACGTATGCTCTGATTTTCCAATCATGTAAACATCTAAACCTGGAGGAAATCCTTCTTCAAATTCTGTTTTTTATTTGCTTCTTTAAAAATGATAACTGACGGGAGAAAATTTCCAGCGGTATTGCGCTCTACCCTTCTATTTAATAAAAGAATCGTGAATATTTTTTTACAAATAGAATATAATAGAGTAGATAGAGTTCTGTACAAGGTAACTTAATTGAAATAAATTTCGATAGATGGCGTTACTAGTAATTTTTTTAAAAGGATGATAATGGAATGGTTTTTTTAATGGGTGATAATGGAATAATAACCCCACCCGCGCTATCCGTATACACTGGCGGGGCACCAGTGAGGGATGATACGTGAGGATGAAGCAGATTAGCCTACCGTGATGAATCTAACAATAAATCAATCACGATGGTTTCCAGAGGGAATCACGAGGAGGTCGACCTGACAGGGTATATTACTAGCAATGGGACTACTTTAGTAGTCCCATTGCTCTTAATAAATTAATGGGGATTACCCCATTACTAACCAGTGGTAGATGATAGGCGAGATTGGAGGCAGGTCAGTTGGCCCATAGTGAAAAATTCGACAAGAATTTACCATGATGGTTTCCAGGGGGAACCGGGGAACCGACCTAGATGTCGATCTGATATCTACCAATAGATAGATCTATTGGTAGCAATGGGTTGTTAGAAGCCATTACAAACAATCCTTTTCCCCCGAATAAAAACCTAGGTCCGTTAGCCCATCGTAATGAATACACCTGAGGAACACGAGCAAGTCAACTTGACAGGGTATATTGCTATCAAAGTAACCGGCAATTCGCATTACTAACAATCCCTTCCCCCACCCCGTCATAGGAAACGTAAAATATTTTTTCAATCGACTTTAAAAGTAGATTCGCGATTCGGATTTGCTTTTTATGTTTGTTACCCCATAACTCTGTCAGTTTTGAACCGATTTGGAAAATTCTTTTTTTTTTTATCTAAAAGGATATACTTACAGATTGGTCCAAAGAAATGTAATCAAGTTCAGTTTACTTTTTTGGATCAAATTTTATTGTCACAATTGAAGTAGATTTTTTTGGTGGAACACAATCTTTATTTATATTTTAGCTCTGAGAGATTAAAATTCGGCGTATTTTAAAATTATCCTACTTAGTATATGTGTCTAGGAAAGCCTGAAGTTTCATAGACATATAGATGCTCCTTTAGAAAACAGACAGACTTACTTTCGTATATATAATATTAGTATTTTTTTATTATTATTCTATCAGTCGTTAACTGTCCATTGCCGACCATAGGCCTCCACCATAAGCAGGGTTTTGCCAGTAATTGCCACGATTGGCAGGTTATTTTTTGATGGGTGAAAATGGTTTGGTTACCCCGCCTGCGCTAACGGGATACGCTGGCGGAGCATCGGTGAAAGGTAATAGATGAGAATGAAAACAGGCCAGTTAGCTCATCATGATGAACTTATCAGGAATTAACCATGATAGTTTCCAGGGGAACCGCGAGAAGGTCGACCTGGTTGGGTATATTGCTAGCAATAGGATTCACAGTCTCCATTACTAACAATCCTTTTTCCCCTTGGCAGGTGAGTTGGCAACTGCAGTTAAACTTTATTGATGCTTTAAAATCACCGACCATTAATTTCCTTTAATTAATCTTACGACCCCCAAGGGACAAAGGTGGCCCATTCTATGGCAGGGCCAAACGGCAATCATCATCATCATATCAGCTTTTAACTGCAACTGCTGAACATCAGCCTCCCCCAAGGGAAGTTTGCCAGTAGTTGCCATGCTTGGCAAGCGGATTGGCAACCGTAGGTTTTGGAGATGTTTTAAGAAGGACGCCGCTGCCCATCCCTCGCCCTCCCTTAGTCACCTCTTACGACACCCACGAGAAAGAAAGGGGTAGCCCATTCTATGCTAGGCCCATATGCCGATATTAGTATAAATGATTGAGAAGCACGCGCATGGCCAAACTAACGTTAAACATGTTTGTCTTCTAAGTAATCGTTTAGTTAGTAACAGCAAAAACTATTATCTATAGACCTGAGTCAGTAAGCGTTTCTTAATAACAGTTTTAAAATTATAAAAAAAATATATACGAAATTGGTTTGGCCATATAGAGAATTAATAAAAAAAAGAATCATAAAAGAGATTTATCGAGCCCGAATGACAGCGATGTCGATAGGAGTCGCCTTAGGTACACGGTATGTCAACCAAATAGACGACTTGATGAAGAAAGTTCAAATAAGAAGTGCCCGTAACCGGCGAGCGTGTATGAAAAGATCGACGAATGTGGAAGAAGCGAAAGAGTTTTGTTTGAATCGAAACATTTGGCGTCCCATTGTTTCCGCCTACACCAATGGGAGACAGGTGTGACGGATATGCATGTAAATTCGAAATATTTTAAATTTAATTCCTTTAAAAGACCTATTCAGTCAGCTGGTGTTTTTTTTTTATAGATATATTATATATACCTAAAGAATAATAAATTATGATAACAATATATTTGACGTAAATTTATTAGCACTTGAACAAACAGTTGCGTCATTTAAATATATTAAAAATAATCGAGAATAAATTAAATAGACGTGTACTTAGGTACCTACTAAATACATATTTTTGTATACGAGTATAGCTGTATATTGTAAATATTGGGTATAATTGAATTGTGTTCCCTAAAAATACCGACTTCAATTGTAGCAAAACCATTTATTTTGGTTTCAAAACTAATTTACTGAACCGATTTTAATAAAATTTTAATTAATATATATCCTTAGTTACACGCTAATAATATAGCTTTCTATATGTGAAAGAAATTTTAAAATTGATTAAGTAGTTTTGTGTTTATCCATTACAAACAAACAAAGACACAAAAATCAAATCTTTCTTCTTTACATTAATGTATTATTATTATTATATTTAAAATCAGTTATTTTAATTTAAAAAAAAAAACTTTTGAATCAATTTTGATAAAATTTCTATGGGACCAATCTGTAAGTACAAGCGTTCAGACAAAAAAAGAATTTTTAAAATCGGTTTACAACTGACGAAGTTATGAGGTAACAATAATAAAAAAAAATAGTAAAATCGGCGTGGTTAATTTTCTCTCAGACATAACCTTAAATAACCTGTACGTACCTCTTATATCGCGTACCCTCTTGGAGAACAATGATCCCGCTTCGAATATTATCTAGTCTTCAAATCAGGTCATTCTAAAATAAACAGGACAAAAGTACATTGATCTACAAACTTGAGCATACAAAGCCTACACAGACACAGCTATGTTTGTATGAAAAATGAAGTGATTAATGAGATATAAATTTGTGTATTGTTCTTTTGTGAGATCCTAAATTCAACGGCTTTATAACGCAATATGTTTTCTAATTCTGTCAGGATGAATTTCAATAATTACTTTACAATCAATAGGATTTACTCCCATGTCTATCCCATAATTAAAGTGGCGATTTTTGTGGAACGTACTAATAATACATTAGTCTCGGGAACATTCGTAAGCTTTAATAAATCATCTTAATCTTTCAGTTAGACTCGCGCTCGCGTCACAAATGCTGAAGGTTAAGGATTCCGAATGATCCCGTAACAAGTCGAGCTTTCTCGGCCAAATTATATGTAAATTAAACCTGTAATTATTAAATAAAAATATAATGTATACTTATAAAACTTCTAATAATAAAATTGATACTTCCTTGTCACGAACAATATTGAAAATCCCGTTTTCGTCTTCTATGCAATATTACATCGAGGGTTTATGCTAAACCGGCTCTGCTGCCAACCTTTTTAGTCTCCGAACATATAAGTGATGTATTTTAAAAGGAAATTCAAAATATTTTTTATTATCACATTACAACATGGTGAGGGTAGAAGGTAAAAAATTATAGAAAAAGATACGAAAACAATTGTAGAAATACTAAAAATGTTAAAAAAATAACAAAGTATCTTGAGCCAGTGTTAGTATAGTATGACTTGTGTTATTTTATTTTTTTTATTTTAACGATCTTAAAGATTTTTATTTCACTTTTTATAACATAAAAAAGTCAATGACATTTTGCTGTCAAAGAATTTCGCGGCAATTCGCAGCTATTTTTTTTAATAGTTTGGTTTTACGGCTTTGGATATTTTCTTTTATTTATTTTATGCTATTTGACTCCATATCTTGTTATATGCAATACGCTTCGTTTCGTATTATTCTGCACCAAAGATGTAGTTCCTTGTCCTTAGATCTGCACATGTGATGTCATCTTTGTTTTTATGCACGTAATTTTTTTTTATTGTTATGTTTACACTAAAACTACAAATAAATCATCCATCTATTTACCATAATAATCTCATTTTGCGTATTATAAAACATATTCTATAATATGATACAATTCTCCTGTGGCTTGAACTTTGCTATTAAACTTTAAACATAAACGTTTATTGATTTTTTTTTTTAATTGTCGACTGATGTATTCGTCGTTAATAAACTAATTCCTCTAACAAGAATTACAGTTAGAAACGTCTACTTCTTATATACTTTTTTATTTCATTTCAAAACTTTGTATACATTATTAACTTGGATGTAATATTTTAATAGTTTAAATCTCTTACAATGAATCTTAAACTTTGAACGAACGAATAATTGACAAGACCATAAGATAGTCTGTTGATGATCAATGGTAGTACAAATAAAAATTAATTAATTAATTGAATATTTCAATTTATTAGTAATTTCATTAAATACATTTCATATAATTCATATAACAGATACATCTGTGTAAATTTCGGCTAGTTTCACTTGTTCCTACCAACTTACCTCCCTGAGGGGCAAAGGTCGAGTTTTTTTCCACCTGTCCCTACTACTTCAACAATACTTGGTATCATGGATGAAATCGTATACTTTATTATGTCCATGGTACTGTTCATGTCTATAGGCGACGGTTATCACTTTCCATCAGGTGGGCCGTCAGCTTATTTGCCATTCTAAGTAGCATAAAAAAAACCTTTTGATTAAGTTCTGCTTAAACGAATTAAATAAGATAGATAGATAGATAAACTTTTTATTTGAGCCATTTATGACACACGTAAATTAACAAATCGTCATAGTCGTAAAATACCGACGGATCTTTATATGTAATATTTGTCAGATCCGTCAGTATTGTACGACTATGACGAAATGAATTTATACAATCAAATTATTTACACTTTTTTAAATATAGAACAAAAGATAAAATACAAATATATGGTTTCGTCACGTGTGTCGCAGTGACCCAAATAGGTCACAGTTCAGTGATACTTTTGCATAAAAGGAAAGCACTGATTTTCAGCTGCAGCCTGAAGTTAGGCTACACGGACGCGTACAACAAATCCAGAGTGTAACCTGTGTACCTAACCAATTTAACAGCCAAAGATAAAATTGTATTATATGTATATCTACATACATACTTATATAAGTGGGTATACATATTAAAAAAATTGTGATATAGGAAGAAATAAACTACACAGAGAGCAGATAACAAGCAAAATTTGTCATGAGAACCTTGACTGGGCATTTGTGTACCCATTAATAATAATAACTGTAACTCGTTGGCATGTCCGTTGAAATCTCAAATATACATTTACTGCTTGCATGAATTGACTATAAAGCCTTGAAATAAATTCAGACAGTACATTCGATGCACCACTCATGGCATTTATTGCATTGTTAGTGAATTCAGCATTAGATTATTGCATACTTCATGCATACTGCATGCATATTATTGCATTCTGTTATGTCCATGGTACTGCTCATGTCTATAGGCGACGGATTAGTAGTCAGCTTGTTATATAGTCAGCTTGTTTGCCATTCTAAGTTGCATAAAAAAAAAACTTTTTTTAATGCATTTTTAATGGATGAAAATGAAATCTCTCCTGCGATATCAGTATACATAGAGTTTCATCCCAACCATCTGGACGAGTGGCGGTCCTCCACCGTGCATTTTTCAAGGCACTTTCTCCCACGCACGACCACTCTTTGGAATCAACTTCCAGCAGCAGCATTTCCAAACCGATATGACATTACATTCTATAGTACAGATACAATGGGAGGGAAGGGATTGTTAGTAATGCGGACTACCAGTCCCATAATAAGCAATATACCCTGTCAGGTTGACCTCCATGTGGTCCCCCTAGTAACCATCGTGCTGAATTCCAGGTACATTCATCACAATGGGCTAACTGACTTGCCTTATCATTCTCACCTATGATCCCTCACTGGTGCCCTGCCAGTATATACCGTTAGTGTAGACGGGGTTACCATTCCATTATTATCCATTAAAAAATAGACCCGTTTCCTGTTTTTTTTTTTTCAAAATCTGGGACTCTTCAAATCTTATCATCACTTATAATCCAGCGCAAACCCATCTTATAATACATAAAAAAATCCTTCTCATTCCTTTTGAATATCCCGTCTCGTTCCCTATAGGTATGTTAGTGGTATAATGGACAACAGAGGACCCATGCTAAAATAAAAAAAAATATATATATATATATATATATATATATATATATATATATATATATATATATATATATATATATATATATATATATATATATAATTATGATATAAAGAAATATCCATAATAGACATGGCATTCAAATGTTATCGCTTTAAATAATACTTACTAGCGTAAAGTTTAGGTTGTAAATATTCATATTGTCAGTAGATAACACTACCACAGATAATATTATACATAATGCTAACATATGATTATGTAAACAATTCAGCTGATACGGTATATATGATATGTGATTGTTATAAAGCAACTTAGAATTACGTTTGTGCAGCACGTGTCGCTCGTTACGATAATGGTTGTCGACATTTTCCCGCGTTTTTCAACAGCATAGATTAAAAATGTTAAAATTTTATGTATTTGATGCAAAGGAATTTTAATAAACATTTTAAATTTTCTTCCTTGATTCACAATTGAATCGATTTAAAAAAGGAAACAAATTGAGATACGATATCTGTGTTATTAAGATGGATATCAAGATTTAAGATATTTTGGGACAGATATAAAATATTTATTTATATGGCAGTGGACGTAGATTTTTTTTTATAATCTTTGAGTTTCGCTTGTATTTCAGTTTGAACAAATTTGGGGTAACCATTTATAATTTAAAAAATGCCCAAGAAATTTCAGGGTACATGTTACTTTTACAAGTGGCTATTTATTTAAATTATTAGTTACTGAACGCATATTTTTCTAATAAAAAGGTAAGTAGATAAACAAAAAAAAACATAAAAAACCAAAAGATTTTATAAGAGATTTGTGATATAACGTGGGCACAAAATCTGTTTAAATAAAGTAGAGCGTGGGTGGCCACAATGATGGCAGTATTACAAGATATTTACGTAAAAATAAAAAATAAATCTTGCATTTAATTACTACAGTAGTATAAATAGTGATTTACCTAATAGGTGCTTAAGTACATTTTAATTATAGGATAAAACAATGCCACGTGACACGTTAATAGAACGAACATACGAAATATCACTAACTTAATTAGTATTACTATTAAGCATTTACCTAAAATCTTTCAGTCACGTTATCAGTTCACGTAATCGAAACAAACGTCGACGACATTATCGAAATATCATGAAACAAAGAACGTCCAATTGAAACACATAGTTGGTCTAATTTGATAAGTAACAGCGTCGAATCGAACTTATTTATTATTAAGTTGCTTCACAAACCAGTCAGACGGTCAGCTGGCGGATAAAGTAGAGAGGAGGGATGTTTCGTTGTCATGCGCAGTCGTCATGACGCCACGTTAACACGTGTAGTACAACGCATTGAAGATGCGCAATAACTAAATATAACAGATTAGATTGCTACGTTTTTTTAGTTAAGCAAATCGCTGTTTTATGATAACGGTTATTTCAATTAGTTATTTTTATTAAAATAATATTTTATGTTTACGATTAGTTATCCGTTCCAACTTAACATGTCTTTTTTTGAATAAAATACAGCCTTTTAAAATCAATTAAGTTTTGTTTAAGTTCATCCATTACGAACAAAATATCAAGTCTTTCCTCTTTATAGTATTGGTTTAGATAGAATGAACCAAATCCACATAAAATTCTTTGTACGTTTTTACTAGTCTTGCAGTTTAGATGTATTCTTTAGTAGAATATCCTCTTAAAAGCCAAATCTCAAACGTCTTAACATGTTGGGTAGACTTTTTAAATGCATAAAACTTCAAGTCTTTATGTCAATTTATTTCTAATGACCCTAAAAATATTTTATACATGTCTAAGAAGTGAATCTATTTGGGTTGAAATCGAGCTCATATCAACCTGCATTTTTTAATCGTTATAACATGTGAAACCGGCTATTGCTACACAACAACGATACGATAAAATAATAGCTACAACACAGCTATCTGAACACACACATGCACTAGTCTCCGACGCAAATATAATAACGAGCACACAGCTATACACAACGATCAGTTTGTCTGGTGTCTTTGTAGGGGATAAACGTTCGGATAGAGCGCGCCCAAAGGCAGCGATCTTTTCTTTTTTTTATTTGGCTTCTAGCCGTTGTATGGGTAAGTTTTACAATACTTCTTTACATATAATGTTTTAGACACTTTCTTGTGGAATACTGTTTATAAAAGTAGTTTCTAGTATAAAACATCGTGTGTGCGTATGTAGTGAATGAAAGCTAGTTGCTATATGAACATAGATATAATTAATACAGGATGTGTTTTGTTACAAACATAAACAAAGAATGCCGTTTGAATTCCGAACAAAGAAATATGATCAATTTCTTTTTGTTTCTAGTAAAATCTTACATATACAAATGTATAATTTTCATTATTTAGTTTCTGGTTACCTATTAGTAATGAGTGAATATAAATAGCTAGTGTTGGGAACGTGAATATAATAATAATAGAAATAAATAAAAATCATTGTTAAAATCTTTATAACATTCCTATTCTTTTGTGTACATACATATAGATACTTTATTAATATGCAAGTAATGGAGTAATGGCAAAACTTTCACTATCTGCGTACACACGTGAAGTAGTTAGTTGATAGTGAAACTGTAAAAATCGATTGCCACATTATGTGGATAATATATTTATATATTTACCTACCTATGTAGATACACACGTATTATAATAATACATATTTGATATTATAATATAAACTACTAATATACATATACGTACCTTTTTTCCTGTGGGTTACAGGACGGGGTATGTTTTTAAGCCGACATAAGTCGAGAAGGTGAAAAATCTAATAAGTAAACTACTAAATATTAATCAATTTATAAACTTCATTATTATAAAAAATTGTGCAATAAAAATAAAATTCGTAAAAGATTATTAACTGTCTTATTATTGAAATAATTAGATATTGTACTTAACTATTTGCGGATGTATTTTTATTTATTTATATTATTGGAAAAATCACAGTATAAATTTATAATTCTATAAATGGTCATAATTTTAGGATGCTATTGTGTAAACAAATATAACAAAATACTAAATATAAAATAAACAATAGTTAACAAGCCAATTTAAAACCAAAAGTATCTTCTGCTTCGAGATTAATAAAGAAAGAAAGTAATGTTAATGTAACTAATCATAAATTATAAAATCCATTTCTCTTAGCTATTTCACTACAACAAAATAAGTAAATCTTGGAAAGTTAAATGCGTTTTAATTATATAACTTTAAATTTAACACACCTAATATTTCCCCACAAAGTTAAAAATTTTATGGGACCCGTTAATCTTTACAGTCGGTTTAGATTCAAACTTATTCTAAAATTCATAAACTTTTAAAAAACTATTTAAATCATAACTTGATTATTATAAATAATTAGTCCAAACATTATCTATTAGTGTTATATAAAAACTTTGATTCCGTAGCCTTATAACTGTTTTTATGTTTTTTTTTATTGTTTTTACATCGAACGCCTTTACATGACGTAGGAGAGTGGGCGCTATTATGTGGGCTAAAGGTCACTATGTAGGTTTAGGAAGGCTTTTGATTAAGTAAACAAAGAGATAAATAAGAAAATATTTGTTATTAAAAATTATTTATTAAGATATTCAATGCTTTTATTTATCTATAATATTTTTAATAAAAGGTCTGTTTAAACTACAGTAATATATACTTATGAAATATACTCAGCGACGTTTATGTAACTAACAAAATTATTAGATCGTTACTGACTTTGACCGATCAATCGACTAGAGACGAATTCTCTAATCTGTCCTTTGGCAGTATCTCTGGCGTTCATTTATTTTAAAGATCTTAGATACCATTTAATCAATGTTGTACTGAAATTAAAATCCCAGCCACATTTAATAGTAACTAAATGGATTTGTTTTTAATTGAGATTTGGTACACAGACGAACTAATATTTTAATGTACTAATTACTGGTTTAACTCACGTGTAATTAGATCGTGAAATGTCAACTAATTTCGGGATTAACTATATAATAACAATTATATAGGAGCTAATATTTTCTTAGATTATCACATAGGATGTTTTAAATCTAACTTACGCAAGTAATGTAATTTACAGCCAATACCTAATAAAACTGTAACTAGATCGTATCTATGCATACATCACACTATATATAACACGAATTCTGATAAAATTTAGTGTGGTAATAAATTAGTATGTGCATGCATATATACATTAGTAAATAATTACTCCTTACTGCAACAAAGTCACATTTCTATGTTAAAACAAAAAATACTCCACGCAAACTATAAGTTTTTTTATACAGCCAGTAACAAATACAATACTATAGTGGTGAGGTAAACACAGTTACGCAAATCGATTTAAAACAATCATTATTCGAATTTCGAATTTAATTCGAATGTAAAAATGAGGATACGAGATAAAGTAAGACACGTGCCTGTTATCGCTGAACTACATAACAACGAGTACACTAAGGCTTCTTTCTTACTACATTCCGGTCCGGTTGTTTTAGTAAGCCATCAGAATAACCGGAATGTAAGCTGTATACTCTATTTCAATAGAAGTTAATAAAGCATTTTTTTTTAATTATCACAGAAACACTATAAATGAAACTAGTAACAAATCAAAACATTCAATCAATTAATCTGTTATTGATTTGTATTGAACATCAACAGACTGTCTTTTTGATTAATTCAATTATTTACATTTTATTGAGCTCTTATAAAAAAAAAAAACTAGTGTTTATATCTATACGCAAGTCAGAATTGTCACCGGATCTCCGATAATTGCATACTGACAAATCGGCTTAATTGACGAACCGGTTCATGTGATCATATGATCTGGGAAACGGATTTAACCGAAACCTGAACCGACGCAATGAAAACGGTGCCTAACCAACTCGCGAGACCGCCAACACAATGGCCCAGATTCATATCACGTGCGTTACCAAACCAGTACAAGCTGACCTCGACGGTTTCCTTCTACCGAGTCGCATACGTTTTCATAGTGATTGTAAATTTTGGCATACTTTAAAGGCCGAATTGATTTTACAAACTAAATTTGTTGTAAAACTACTGATTTATTAATAATGTAAACATGTACTGTCTTATCGACTTTATAACAATCTTAATTTTCCATTTTGTATCCGCATTTTAAAATATCAAATAGTGCGTGTTACACAGAATTTACTAAATATAAAAAAAAAAAATATTAATTTCATAAGGTATATTGGATGCTGTTTTATTGTTACCGAAAATTGTTATGAATGTTGTTAATTTTAATGTTCAAATTAGACTAAATGTATTTTATAAACTCAATGGAACATGTTGGATTTAAATTGAAGGAATTACAAATATGTGCTTAATGTGGGCTCTATATTAATAACCTGAATCAGTGTAATAGGTACAATACTAGTTATCTTCTGAAACTACGAAATTATACCACCATCTTGTAATGCAACAATTACCCGCTCATATTAAATAACTATAAAATATATTAAAAAATATTTAACTAAAATGTAGAGTAAAAAAGCAGATACACAAGTAATTATTTGTTATAATACAAATTTATAACATATTTAAATATAACAACTTCTTTTTTATGATTATTATGATCTGAAATAATTTAATTGCACATTTAAGTAATTAAACTTCGTCCATCGTATTGTAAAGTTAAATAGCCTCAAACACTATCATCAAGAAATAAGCTATCAAATGCAAAATATTTTTTCAAATCCGACTGGTTGTTCCATAAAGTCATTACAAGCAAACAAAAAGCTCTCCTAGTCTATTTTATTATCCCTTATGCATAAAAACGTTAATCCTCTCATAAACCTATTTTAGCTATGAAGGGTTTTGTCCTTTTCTTTCATGCTAAATTATCAATTTGAAAGAAAATGACAAAATACTTAGATAGCTAAAATAGGTTTGAAGGACGTTTTAGTTTTTATGAATAAAGGGGTTGATATGTTTACAGAAACGTATATAATTTAAATTTATTTAAATATTAATATAAATACATATTACAAACAAATTAAATACAATATATGTACGGTAATATCATATCAAAACAATATAAAAGTACTATATTTAAATCTTGCGTAAATGAACGTTGATAATTCTTACAATATGTAGTTATCGTATACTACCACAGAATAGATAATAGTCGCCCGCACAGCAACTGCTATAATTAGCACTTTTTCAAAATAACTACTACGTTAATGAGGCGTATATCCGTTATTTACGCACAACGCAGTACATCACTAATGACGCGGGGTACAAAAAGCGCGTAATTCGAGATTGGAATCATTTCTTTGTTTTGAATGTGAATGAATGGATTTGTCCACAATTCTTCGATTTTTAAACATGTACATACTAAAACAATCTTTGTATAGTTTATGTTAAAGGTCATTACACTTTGATCAGTCTTATGACATTATGTACTATCGGACTTTGTGTCTGATATCATATCGGAAAAAAGACAAACATTATCATCTATTTACCAACAATTTTTAATGTTATTTGCTTATTCCGCAAGGAATATGGCGTAAAGACAATATAATAGAAGAAAAACGTTATTATTATACTTATTCATTCCATACTTTTAACTTTCCGCGGTTCCGCGAGTACCCGAAAACTATCGTGATTAATTCTTGCGGAATTCATTATAAAAGGCTAACTGACCTGCTTTCATCCTCGTCTACCACCTATCACTGATGCCCCATTAGTGTATACGGATAGTGCAGGCGAAGTTTTCATTCATCATCCATAAAAAAAATATAAATATTCTCCCGCCGAATAGAATGTGGGTTTAAATCTCAAATAAATCGTGTTATCGGTAGCTGAAATTTTTAATTTATTATAGCAATTATTTATTTATAAAATTTTCATTATAACGGAGATAAACTGACGAAACTCGACTACAATACCAAATAATATCATTTTCTTAGCTGTGCTTTAGAGTAGAAACCTAATACAAACGAACCTACTCATCTCAACTTCATTAAAAACATTTTGTAAATGTATCTAAGATGACGAAATATGTAATATTAATTAATTAAATTTAGCAAATTGTTTCAACTCAATATATTTAAGCAATCAAATAA